AAATTCCTGAACAAATTATTAAGAATTAAAGGAATGTTCAATCAAAAATGTTGCAATTAAATAAACTTTTTTCCGTAAGATATATAGCACAGTTTCCGTTAGGTATATAGCAAAATGCCATAAAGTTGTGACTGGTTAACTAGATATAAGTTAGAACAATATAAACTTGAGCGTTACTTTATTCTGTGGGTAACTGAGCGTAGTATTAGCTATTGTGTAACTAACTGATAACAAGTTCACGCTATCAAGGTCAGCGATGCTGTGCGCTTTCTTCCGTATTTTGATGTAACAGTAACAGAGTTTCTTGTACTAAGACATACTATACTGAAGAACATACTATATGTATTGAGGTATATTTTTAAATATTTTTTGGGCTAATCTACAGATTCATCGTTAAGTGAGGAACGAATTGAAAGCATCTGTCTTTATCATAAACTCCCTAGTCCCATGTAGCTTCACTTTTGGTCGTAGCGTGATGTTTCTTAGTCTAACTAGATACATTGACTATTCAACACAAAAAGAATAGAAGAGCTACAAATTAACCCAAAAAAGTTTATTTGAAAAAAGTTTTATTCATAGAGTTATGAAGCAAAATATAGAAAGTAGTAGACTAATCATATTTTACTAGTTTCTACTTGCGGTTTCGCTCAAAGTGCCAAGTCAAAAAGTGGCAGCCAAATAATTATCTATCTATCTCAGTGTCAAATTTCATTCAGATCCGTTCATTAGGTTTTATGTGGAAGATAAAACCTTAAAGGAAAATACATGAAATCAATTTACGAGCATGTGAATAAATACGGTTACGATTTAAATATAGACATTGTTTATGTAGGTACGTGCCTACACATGCATAATAAGGCAGACTGATTATTTAGTAAACACCAGGGTTCGGATTTCGAGCCATCTGTTGAATCGGAGATAAGCGTCTAAAACTACAGAGAATATTGAATTTTTTCATGAATGTTTGCATCTAGGTGTTAAAAAAAGAAACAAAATGTTATTTCAAAGTATTCAAAACGAAACAGACCCATTGTGAATTTACATGAAATTATATTAAGTATATATTCTTCTTATCGAACAGTCTTTCTCAAAATGGGCAATAGGTAACGCGCTCCCAACACGATGATGGCCAGATGTCGTAGCCAGAAAAATAGACTGGGGTTTGTAAAGGTTTTGGGTGCCAATTTGAGAGTTTTTTTCTTCAATTTGTTAATATCTGTGGTGTTTGTTTTTTTTCTTTTGAGTTGGGCATTAGAGCTTTGTTTGCAACCTCTGTTTGTTATAGTGGTTTATATATAATTGTCAAAATTAACAGCTTTCTGTGTATTTTGTATGGGACTGCACGACTGGCGTGGTGGCTGGACAACTGGCTGCCGTGCAACGTGTCGCGGGTTCGATTCCCGCACGGAACAACTCTTTGTGTGATCCACAAATTGTTGATCCGGGTCTGGGTGTGATGTGTATGTGAATTTGTATGTTTGTAAACGCACCCACAACACAGGAGAAAATCCTAGTGTGGGGCAACAAGACGATTGTATGTTGTATCGCACCAACCGTGCAGTCGTATATCTGCTGTCTTTACTACTTAAAATATGTAGGTATTATTGATCTACACACACACACACACCTTGAACCCACTAAAACTAATTACAACTGCCATTATTATTCTTTTAACTAATGGGATTAGGTACTGTTATTAATATTCAGGTCACAAACAAATAACAAACCATCAACTTTGTATTATAATGGTTCCTAATTCCTATTATGTAACACAATGAAGATAAAAACGTTAGAATCCCTTATTAGGGTTTAAAAATAGAAACCAAATATTTAAACTGGGAACATACAGTATGTAACTGTCCAATGTACATCATTTTTATCAATTGGCTGGCAGTGGTTGGATAGCTGAACATCCTATTAGAGGGGACAGAAATGGCCTAACAGTATCTTTTTTTTACAGGTTGTAAGTACGTATTATCACAAATAGTTCAGAAGAATATGGAACATACATATTCATTTGCATTATTATGCAACACACATAACTAACAAACATTAATAAAAATGTTTCAAAAATGAACATAAATATCACGAAATGTTAAGTAGAAGTAAGTAAAATTAACTGATCTCCTGTTAAATCTCTTGTCAAGTCATCTCATTGGTTGACTGAATTATCAACAACCAATCACATGACTTGACAAGAGATTTAACAGGAGATCAGTTAATTTTGGCGTTGACAAGCCTTTCAGATACCGGGTGCTAGTCAAATATCTATTTAACTTGAGTTACTAAAGTGGATCGGAATAATTATGTATCAGTTTCTATACTTACATATTATTTGAGTCTAGACTAAAAACCGCGAACAATTAATTGTGTGTGTGTGGTGGCTTGTGGTTTTATTATTAGGTTATAGGTATTATAGGTTCTATTATTTAGATATAGAAAACAAATACCTACATAATGATAGACTCACCTGATAGTACTTCAAGTGTGGATACTTCATGATAACTCGCAATATAAGCACTGTCAGCTGATCTTGTAGTGCCACACGCTGTTCATACGGAATGCCTGGGGGGAACCGCTTCAATGACCTGTTCACGTCTAACACCACCTGGTTACAAAAACATAAATTTTACTATTATTACTAGTATTTTTTTGTAAAAATATGAACCAAATTGTGTCATATTTAATCCCCTTCAAGTTATCTCTTATCTAAAAGAAAATAATAACCTCAGAAATATGGCCTATACTGGAGTGGGTAAGACACACTTAGGGTTTGACTTATTCGCACACACAGGCAACGAGGTGATGCCATCGCAGAATAAGACATGGTGAAGACATTGGCGATAAGTAGGTAAAATAGGTACTAGGTGACATAATCATTTGTGAATACTTGTAATACACAATACTTATATAAAATCTCTGTTTATCTTTCGTTACATGAACTTGGAGAGACAAAACTTATTCTCGTTGCTTTTGAAAAGAGATCCATGAATCAAGAAATTAATTGCTTTAGCATTGAAATATAATGAATAAAAAGTTATAAGTATTATATTTGTGAAGACAATTACTTTACCTGATTGTATTCAATGTGTGTTGACAATTCATCCAGTGACGGGGGCTCTGTCAACTCTTCCTGTGTCACACCAACTAGTAGCGGCCATATTTTTCTTCTATAGTCATCTAAAATAAAATATAATAAATTCTTGTATCATTTTATTGTTATATCCAACTGCATTTATTTTATTAATTGTTTGTTAGTTCTTGCTGGAATTTTCCTTGACATAGTATTATTATTTGAAATTACAATGAAACTTAACATAATTGAACCTGTCATCATAGCTAGCAAAATAATCTAATAAGTGAAAAGTATATGAGCACTTGTATTATAATTATGTGTGGTATCTTTATTTTGCACATAAGTACAAAATAGAAAAAGGATAAAGAAATACACTAACAGAAACAAGTACAAGTCTCCTAAAATTTATTCATAGTCACTAAAGTAACTACAGGATAACTATAAAATGTTTATGTCTTGGATCATTATACATGTATAATGTGTTTATGATATGATTAATTACAGTTTACTCGGGAATAGCAGTAACATGGTGCCAAAATTTCAGTTGAAATTTCATTTATCATTGGTTTTATGACTCTCAGAGGAAGTAATAACCAAGAATATTGAACCATTTTTGTTTTATTGATTATGTTTACCCTAAATCAACAACTGGTTTTGACATTTAGAGAGCTGAAATTGACATTTTGATAAGTATTGGCTACAACATTACAAATACTCAGAAAAATGATCATGTAAGGAAAATAATTTATTGTAACACTAACATTCTGCACTAAATTGCTTGTCGTCATATCAGCGTATGACGACAGAAGAGGCATTGTTCTGTTTTACGACGTAAACAAATTGTACTTTCCACTCACCACTGATTAGTCCAGCTTTCCCTTTTGCAAAATTCTGCCATTGTTCCAAATTCACCCAGTCCAAATTCTCCAAACATTTCTCAATTTCTTTCTTCTTTTCCTTCACTTCAGGGTCCTCGTAGTCGGGTTCTAAACAAAGTTATCGATGACATTAGTAGAATGCACCAGGGACTTTCACTTGCATTTTCTATTTCAACAGTCAACAATATTGCACAAAAATAGTGGTGATAATAAAGAACAGTATGTAAAAATTGTATCCAGATACATCAAAATCAAACAGGTCAAATAATTGTTTACAATACCTTCATCAAATTTTAACTCGGAAGGCGTAGAGATGTCATCAATATTTTTAGCATTATTTAAGTCGAAGGATTGTCTATTGGGCGTCGGTGAACAGTCGCCATTAGAATTACACTTATCACCAATATCAGCGTCGGTTTTATTAGATTCCATGGTAGAAAGTTAAAAATTAATCGAGCGAAAACATTACACCATTCTTCCCCTTAGGGCGATGTGATGACATTTGAGAAAAATGTCATGTTCAAAAACTCGTACTGAAACGCGGTTAGATTTTTTTTGTTTGTCTTCTATATAAAGTTATACTTTAAAACTAGAAGTTAAATATTATGAAAAATACAAACAATATATAATATTTGCAATAAAATAAAAGTTGGTTCAAAGGAAATTATCACCTTTAATTTTATTTTTGTAATTTAGCAAAGTTAGTTTCTGAATGAAGTTAGAGAAATGTCACATGCACGATTCTTTTTACTCAGAACAGTTGAAAACGTAGAATTATCGATACCAATTTTATACTATAGATATTATTATACATAATCATGACTAACTTCGAATTTTCGGCTTAACATGGTGAAATTCGCTTACTAGATAGTAAGAAGATAATTTATGAAAGTTACTTCATCTGCTCACTAAATTATACTCAATACATATTTCTTTTTAAAAGTCATAAATGTATAAATTATTGTCAAAGTAAACCATCCTGATTGGGTCAATAACATTATAAAAAATTTATAAAATAATAAATGGCTAAAAATATTTTTTAAATAATGGATATCAACGTTATTTCTCCAGATGAGAGTATAAGAAAAATTGAAGATATTATTGATATCCAGAAAGCAAATGGATATTTCAATGTTCGGCAAGTGGCCTTCAACCTTCCCTCCGAGTCGGCAAGCTCAGTTTCGGCAAATACAGCTAAAAGCTTAGAATCAGGTTTATCTAAAACTAAATCAGATAGTGAAAATAAGAAGAAGTTGAAGAAAATACGATCAAAACGCCATAAGAGTCCTTTACCAGATGTGGTATCATGGCCGAGCGATTCGGACATAACGGTACTTAGAATGAAATTATGTTTGACTGACAGTGATGTGAAGGAAAAGGTGGGTAATCTGATTCCTGGAGATGGGCTTCACCAACCAGACAGCTCATCCATGGTAAATTTAGCTACATTGATCCGACAGTCTCAACCACCATCCAAACAAAATATTTATATGGAAGAATATCTTATGCCACTAACCTCTTGGGAGAGGGAGCAAGATCCAGACCAGGAACCTGAGAAAGAGGCTCCAATGGTTGAAGAGGAACAAGAAAACGATTTTTCTACAAAATGTTTGCATGCGCATGGTGTTTACGAACCTAGATGCAGCCATGAACTTAATTTACACTTGTGTTCTAAGGACAGTCAGTCTAGTTACTCAAAGATCACGAGAAAATCTAAATTCGCTCGGTTCCTGCGTCTGTACTTCTGTCCGTGCTGCACCTGTCTCTACAGATTGGAAAAGATGCGTGATGAACCATCGGAATATTTCACGAAAGGCAAAGAAGTAAATTAAATACATTTACTAATTCAAAACAAACTGTGATAATGTTACTCTTGAATTGCAAATAATTGCTTGGCAAACTCTCTGTGTTTTATTCGATCAAAGAACACTTTGCTAATGGAAGTCTTGCAGGCGCAGTACTGTAGCTACATACTTAGGCACCTAAGCACTGTCATTGACCGGTAGGGTGATGTTGACACTGTTTTTTTTATCAGCCGTTATCGTCCCACTGCATGGCAAAGGCCATCCCTACCATTCTTCCACTCGTCTCTACACCAAGCTTTCTGCGGGCAATCATCGTCGAAGACATGAAGTTCGTCGTCGTCCGTTATTAGAAATTCAAATTAAATATTCCAAATTAAAATCGGATGTTTGAACCATACCATAACATGATAACATAATCAATAATATACTGGAGTCTAGAAATTTGGCGGTATAGGCTTCATTCCCATGGCCTAAAAGTCATTGCGAGGCCCTGCGTCTGCGCTGATCTCTTTCGAGTCTTGTCTGATGGTTCTTAATAACGAGGTTGATTCGGTATTTTTTTTATGTGGTGAGCACCAGATGAGTAGATATTGCCAAACAGAGGAGTTACGAGTGCGTTGCCGACCTTTTGGGGATTATGGATTGGGGAAGGGAAAGGATTAGGCCTCACTCACACGACGAAACACAACGCCGTGGTTGTTCTACTCCGGTTTTTAGTGAAGCCGTGATATCACTCCGGTCAAGTCGACGCATTCGTGCCGAAGCATGAATCTCTCACACTTTTATTTATGGGCACCTTTAAGAAATTGAGTCCATTGCAGGCTCCGAGGTGCAAGCGGCTGGAGCAGGTAAAGATATGGTGTGGTTTTTAGTCAACCAAAAAGTCTGGCACTTCCATCTCCTCGCCCTGTGCAGGGAAAAGTCACTCGATGATTTTACCCAGCTAAAAAGGTAATTATTTGGCTAACAAGAATGTTGTATAATGCACAGACACCTATTTCAATATAGATATAGATGAAATGTTGTCGTAAATGTGCGGTATGCACGGAAAAAACGTTGCATGTTGCTAACGATAATTTTATTTTTTATTTCACACTAGCCGCGTAATTGATATTTGCTTCCTTATTTGATATATCACATGTCTTTAAATTAAGAATTACTTCAGCTATTTCTATTGTTTTTATATTTTCAAAACTTTGAGCTATTGAGTTAACATTTATGTATACCTAACTATTGTAAAATTGACGCTGCATAACAAGGTCTCATATAGGTACTTATTAGTTTGATATCTTATTGGTACGTTTGGCTGACAGTTGGTAACATTCACATTTTGCTATTTACAAATTAATAGAAATTCATATTTATTATTAAGCTACACTGATAAATGTAATCTAAACATATTAAAAAAGTCATGAAAATGTAATAAGAACAAATGTGTAAACAAAGAAACAAACAGGAACTCACACTCCCTTACACCTAGCTTAGTCGACTATCTAATAGTTACAGTTATTAATATCGTCTTCTTCAATTAGTTTTGACTGTTCTCTCCTCACTACTCGCTGTCTTTCTTGTCTTCTCTCTCTCTGTCTTTGTACATGCTAAACTGCTGCCTATTTCAGTGCAATATTGGGACATAGATATGCATATACACATAGACATAGTGTGATACAAATAGACACACGCCATGAATACTTACCTAAGAATGAACGCATTACTATGCTGTACTTTGTGTATTTGATTACGATGAATAAGTGCATTTTCTGTCATCTCTCTCTCTTTGGAACACTCCAAACGGCAGTAGGTATTCAGTCACCAACATCTGTCTTGTTACTAAGTTTGTGTACTATTACCATGAACTCACCGACCATAACCATTCATCATCCGCTCGTTTACGTCCGCCGCAGGATATGGGTATATAAGTCAACAATAGTAAGTTCATTCTTCAGCCGCCTACCGTTTTTTTTATGAGGAAAATCATTAAATTACGTCTCTCGCCCAGAGGGAGTGTCAAACTCTTACTGACTCAAAACCACCTTGTTACTTCTCTTACTCCTCTTACTCCGCGGTACCATATTGAGTTTTTTGCCTTCCCACAAAATAGTAGTATTTTCATCATAACTTACATGCGTGCCAGACAATCAATAAACACCGTTTTTTTCTCTATATCTCAACGTAACACAATCTAGCATTTTACGGAACGTTAACACATAAACAACGAACAGTTTCTCTGTAAACCGCAAACAAAAAACAAACAAAGCCCTCATTATCACATCAGAATGAATGCATAATGACAAACACGTACCTACTCACAACTCACAGACCATTTTGGGCCTACCCACGCAGAAATAGAACAATGAATGAACCTTTTTAATCATTTCTTCGGGCAAGGTCCTTTTCCATTCACTTGAAAAGAATCATGATCAGTTACTCACTTTGATATAGGTTGAGTCAACGATGTCGATGGTTACGAAAGGCACTCGTATAAATGATTGTGCCCACCGTTGGGACACCAGCAGAATAATTAAAGCTTCGTTTGATAGTAATCTAAAAATTAAGACTAGACTAACATTTGTTGAACAATCGATGAAAATCGAGTTCTGTGATGTAACACAGTTTGAATTGCTTCGTGTAAAACCGAGCTCATGATGACGAGGGCATGATTTGAGAGAGCGTAAAGCCATAAACATATTAGAAAATTTTGTTTAATGTTCATTGAATTGCGTAATCAATGTAATACTTATTGTATTCAATTTAACAAAATCTGAGTTTTTTTATAATAAGGGTATCCAGACAACTTTTCTTCTTTTACACAAACAAAAAAATATGAAGTTATTCATATTTTCGGTTCGTTTTTTCTGCCGAACGTGTAGAAAGCTTCAGATTACTTAAAAAAAAACAATTTGGCCAGTCAAATATTTCTTATTGAGGACTAGCTACTTTCGCACGGTTTCACCCGCTGCTCGGCTTCATTTAATCGTAGCGTGATGTTTTATAGCCTATAGCACTCAGGAACATTGTAGCTATCTATCAGTGAAAGACTTTTGGCAATCCCACCAGCGGTTCCAAAGATTACCCCCTACATACAAACTTAAAAATTTTACCTCTTTATAATATTAGTATGGATAAATCATATGTAGGCTCACTAAGAACATCAATCATGAATTACAGACATCCACCGATCGACAAAAAGCCTCCTCGGGAATTGGTGATTACAACCACCGATTATCATAATCCTGACCTTAAAGGGAAGGATCACAGATAGAGTTAGCTAGATGACTGAAAAAAATTAAACATCTTCTTTTTTTTATGCAATAAGTAGGCAAACGAGCAGACGGATTACCTGATGGTAAGCAATCAACGCCGCCCATGGACACCCGCAACGGAGGAGTTACGAGTGCGTTGCCGACCTTTTAGGGATTAGGGATTTGGAGATTTAGGGATTGGGGAAGGGTCCGGGAAGGGGAAGGATTGGGCCTCCGGTAACCTCACTCACACGGCAAAACACAACGCTGTGGTTGTTTCACGTCGGTTTTCTGTGAGGCCGTGGTATCACTCCGGTCGAGCCGACTCATTGGTGAAGCACGGCTCTCCCACACTTAATAACGATAACACACGTAGGTATACTTAGTACTTAGTACAGATACAAACACTAACACTAGATCTAGATTATCTAACGGAACTAATAAACATACAGTGTTAATTCTGAAGTCATTGCCAGAATACTTAAATAAGCGTCAAAGTTGTCTGATACGAATCACTTATGCTTTCACAACAGGTGTAAACGAATATAATACCTACATAATACGTATGTAGGATTGTATAACTCCGAAAGTTTATTTCGAACTTAATGTTTTTTGGTGACACATGACTATAGCAATAAAGTATGCATGACGGCTTAAAGTGTGCTGGATAGAATGTGAATGTGCTAATAGATCTGTGTAGATACCAATGCAATCCTGAAGCGATCATCCCGCTATCGATCGTGCCTCAAAGAGCTATTAGATCAGACCACCACAGATTGGGCCAATAGAGCTGATGCTACGGGTGCAAGCAAAATAATGTTCCGCGGCCCTGGCCCAGAGTAGCAGAACCCGACGCTGCCTCTTGCCCCAACCGGGGCTTAAGAAGACATTAAATAATTATTCTCTCTCAAAAAATAGAGTACGTAAAATATTCGTCTTAAAAAACGCACTTAGAACCAGTCCGTTTTTTTTTGCCGGAGTTTGTGTTTGCTGAAATGTAGGTACCTACACTCGGTGTCTTTAAGGGCCAATTGATTGTCCATCCATCGTAGTTCGAAGTTCATACCTATTATTGTTTACCACCAGGCAAAAAACAGACCCTTGTCAAATAAATAAACAAACATGATTTCACTGTGTCCTTTAAAAACACAATAAACTTAAATTTTAGCGAGAAATACTCCGGAAGTGTCAATTTAGATTAATAGTTCCTTTTTCAACCACACACACTTGAATTCACGAAGTGCCTTGAATGCAAATAACCCAGGCATGTTTGCTGATTTAGTCACGTCTAATAACATTTAAGCATTTTATAAATAAAATTTCATCAAGATAACTACAGGAAATGATGTTCACCTGAGTAGTGGTCCAAGTATAGATCCTTGAGGAACACCCCATTTTTGTAATCGAAATTCAATTAATATTTATTCAAATTGTAAAATACATTTAGAATTAAGGTATGCACCTTCCATTATTTTTTTAATTTACGATAAGGACAGATTTTATGCTCTTTAATGCAATCTGATCGTTCGGGTTGGCCAATAAAATTATTCGCATTATCAAAAATACCTGGAACCGGTTACCGGAGACATCTGAACTCAAAGGAACCCCAATGATGTATGATATGCTCAGCGAAAACTCACTTTTGGGGCTTTCGGGGCCATTATTCGATAATAAGCCTGACGTAACCAGATGCATGTCGGCATATAAGAAATATTATGCCATGAATTACTTAAGATTCATTTCATTACAGATATCCATACATAGGGGATATGCTGTGTTCCGATTTTGTATTGTACCTTGCCTATGCTACTATTTACTCACGTGTTTACTACTATTAACTTTACTATATAACAAGTTATTTTATAAATCAAATTATAGGTACAGCGCACTTAGAGTATACAACACTAAATATTAAACAACCACTCTTACCGTGCCAACATTCCTGAAATTCAGCGTCTTTATGACATATAGTTATTTTGCTTACGGCAGCGGCATTCAATTACGCTGCTTATACTACTAAACATAATGAGAAAATAGAAGGAAACATCGTTTAATGCCGGATGCTTCAGTTACCTTGAAGTTACCGGTCTATCCTATCTGGAAAGTTATCCAAGCACTCACCTACCTGTAGGTAGGTACATACGTAGAAGGGCAAATAGTTAAGTCAGGTAAGTACTTGTAAATCTTCTAATTGTTCATCTTCAATAACACGAATAATAAATATTATGAATGAAACAAGAAAGTTAAATAACGGTAATAATCGTAATTTAGAAAAGTGGTAATATAAATCAATCGATTAACATCGTCGCACCGTCACGTCATAAACATGAACGCTTCCGAACAAATTGCAATAATAACCGAACTATATTTCTGGGCGAAATAAATTCTTATTTTACCGAATTCGTTAGTTTCGCGTACAATTGCCAAACAGTTTCATTTCTTCGGCCCCCCGTGCCTGGCCAGTTGGCTGCAAGTTATAAAGCGCGGAGAAAGCACAGCGGTCGAACAGTCTTGTGAGTCCCGTCCCGCCATTGTTGCGTTTCGTCCGTTTCGCGCCCTTTTTTGACGTGCAGTCATTTAGTGTTGCAAATTGTTGCGGATTTAATTTTTAATTGTGTTCAACAATGGAAATGAGGTAAATATATTTTTTTTATTCTATTATCATAGGTTCAGCATAAAATCATTTATTTATTAATATATGTATTATATTTATATATGTATTATAAAATTTTGTTTTTTTTTTTGAGGTGTAAAATCTATTATTGTGTATAAAAAATATTTGGTAGGTTTTTAAATGCGTTCGTGTTTTAAATAATTAATGCTAACAATTCCTAATAGAATATTTTAAGAGCTTTCATCAAATATTTTAAACAAGTCTGTTTTGCTACAAAACAATCAACATTGATTGAATCGATACGTCATGTCACTTAATTTCTATGTAATGATGAGAAATCGTTGGCTTTCTAGTCTCATTGGCAGTAAGTGCTATATGTTTCGTAGTTCACCCACTCGTATGGTTAGCGTAATTTCTATAAACCATTATGCTTACAATCTCGTGATACAACACAGTGACTTGTAATTATTGCGCACGCGCTGTCGCACTAACGACTTTTCTGTGCAACAAATATTGAATGAACCGCAATTTAGTAAACAGTTTTGAAATTGAGTTAAACTATTATTGTAAAAACAAATCTTTGTTCATACAGTTTAAATAAAATTAATAAAATAAAAGTCGCTTGCCATACTATGTAATATTATAAATGCAAAAGTTTGCAAGTATGATGGATGATAGCAAAAAATGCTGATCGAATCTGAATAAAATTTGACGCAGAGATAGATAACTGGAATGAAACATGTGTGAAAAGCTAGTTACACTAATCTGGCGTAGCCACTGGCGGAAAAAAGTTTAAAATAAATAAAAAATCAATGCAATCAATATAAATAACCTATGTACCTAACTATTTATAAGTCGGAAACTAACTTCCGAATACTGCAATAGCAATTAAATTGATACCAAGCGCACTTACCAGTCCACACCGAATCACACTTATAAGTTTGATAAAATCAATGAATAAAAAATTCAATTATTAAATTGTGAATGGAAAGTGCTGATTAACTGCAGCCAAAATGTTCATAAAGATTTCTACTCCATGTAATCACTGGTTCATTGGTCCAGTTTTCGCAAGCATAAATAGCAAGCGAGGTTCGGGCTTGACCCTAGGGTCGGTTAATGTGCTATTAAGTTTTCCTGTAAGCTAATTATACGTAATTATGAACTCTGTCTGCCTCCACCTTAATCATATGGGAAATATGTGTAGACGTTGAATAATGCATGGAAATTGACTATAAAGGATTCAATATTTTAAGACTCCGTAATGGGTAATTAATAAATTGTTTAGTGTACCGCACCTAAAGAATTTCGTGCTCACTTACATTAACATAAACTGAAAAGTATCTCTACTCGGAGAACAACTATGTACTTTCCCGAAAAAAAAAAAAAAAGACGGTCCAGGATCAGCAACATTAATTTTATTAGTGTTCTCAACAGACAGTATATTATGGGTGTAAATTTTCAAACTAAATTCGACACGATAATGAAAGCACATACTAAACTCAAGCCCGACACTATAAATGCATTAGCTGAATGGCGTTTATAACTCAATGATCCTCTGGTTTCATAAAAAGAATTAGGATTTATAAAGGGTCGGTCACTGCACTCGTATAAAAAGCCAGATATTTCGCGTTCATAAAAAATATTGCCCAAATATACAAATTGGATTTAACAAAAAAATTAAAAAATTTGCAAGAATAAATAAATTAAAGCCTTTTGATAATACCTACCTACACAACCAAAGTATTTTGTTACGTTGGGTGTGTTCAGTAAACGGTATTTAAGTTAAGGAAAAAATATATTTTTCTGATAAAAGTAGGTAGGTATCTTTTTCAACAGTAAGCCATAAATAATTATCTTTATAATTATACCCTGTGTTATTGGAACTGTACGTTTGTAAACGCACCCACAACACAGAAAAAATCTACCGTGGGGCAACGGCAATTAAAAAGAAACCTCCACTTGAATCTGAATCTGTTCCCTACCTTTTAGGGCATGGATTTTATGCTTTCGTATTCATTCTAAATCGAGATACATTAAATTAATATTTACTCTATCTTACATAATATTGACCGATCGGCACATAATTAAGTTTGTAACAGTTGTTGTTAAACATTTTTCGTATTCATAGACCGTTACTAATTATTGAATTAAATGTCCAAACAAAATTTCTAGGTCAGTCATTGATGTAAAAATAATTTGCGTTGAGATATTTATTGTAAACATCCATTATAAATGATAAACAAACGTTTTTGTTACATCTATTGCATTAGAGATTTAATTTTATTTTCACAATGTTTTGCATAGCAAATTAGCGGGAAAAGTTGCGAAACGTCATAGACTCCGTGACAGTTTTAGTGTTGTTCTAGACTTTGTACCAAGGAGTACCAATAGCAAAAAGTATAATTAATCTTAACATCAAAGCTTTCGTTTCCAATCGATTATCTATAATGACAAAAACCTTGTAGTGTCACCTTGATAAACGAAGACAGAGAGATGAGGAATCTGTTTTATTTTTAGCGTTTATTTATAAATTGCTTATGGTTAAATGGTCGTTTGATCAGAAATTGACAATTAGAACATAAGCTAATTTAATTAAACACCTCTTTAGTTATTCGTGGTTGACGAATTGCATTTTCCAATAAATTAGACACTCAATTACCGATTAAATTATATTACGACAACATACATAGGTACTTCCATTGCTTATTTGTTCTACCAAAAGGAAGGCTGGACCAGTACCTACTTAGACTAGCTAAAATGTTTTTATCGTCATTAGGCATTGTATACATTTATAGCTTGTTTGATTTTGACTTTGAATTCCGAGAGAGAATAATTTCTAGACTATTAATTCTCGACGCAGCTATTTAATGTTGTAAAAAAAAAATAAAGAAAGTTCACTGACACTTCTAAATATGGTGATCTATTATACAAAAAATCCAAAACCTTCATACTTACATTCACAAAAGGAATCAGTTAAACACAGTTCAAATAGGTAAAACGACAAAACAAAAACAGGGCAAAAATGGCTTCAACCGCAAAGAGTATTTACAAGTCAATAGCCTGCCTGTGTCTGTGTAATGTGTTCAATGAAGAAAGCGTTTGCGTAACATCGCATAATAGCTAACAAGTTCAGCTTTGCATACGTTTCGTATGCCGAGTCGACACTGTTGTGTTTTCAAGGAGTCTATGGTTTACTGTCAATACTTAGTGACACTCTTTGGCGGGAATTTTTATCACAACGCAACGTCGTCAAATATATAAAAACGTGTAAGTATATGTGAGTATGTGCAATTTGATGTTTGTTTAATTCCTATCCTGTGGCTAGTTTGATTTATTCTAAATTATCTACTTAATATTTTTTAAACCCACCAAGAACTAAATATGTCTAGTAATGTAACCTATTAAGGCTTCTATGGTGTTTTTTAATGTCTAAGGTGCTAGATCAAAGTATTTGTGTCCTCGTCCGGTTACAAGACATGCAACACATGGTTTCCCCGAAGTAAATGATCCAAAACTGTCATTAAAATTGGTTATAGCTGAGATCTAATAAACTATTCACGTGTAAACTTTACGTACGTACTACAATGCTTAGTTTCAAATTCTTAAACCTAATAATAATAGAATAATTTCAAGTAAGTACATTTACTGGCATCCATTATTCGTTGACAGCGCCATCTTTTTACACGTGTCAAATTGGAACGTCAAAGCTTAAGATATTCAAATCGTGTGTCCGGCCCTTAGCACCTCTATCTATTATTTGGGCCACGTTCAGTCATTGTGTCTGCATGCTGTTTGCATACATGTTCTTATAATCCCATCTTAATAGCTTGTCGGAATAAAACAATTTGCATCTACTTTGTTGTAATTACTTGAATTTAAGTTGTCGCTTGTTTAGCAATACTTTTAGACGTTCGTTATTTTATAGTCTACGAGTGCATATGCCAGTACCTAGGTACTTTAAAAACATTCATTTTGATAATTTATCTACGTAAAGATCTCCAATGTAAGTTCCTTTAGGCTATTAATGATAATTATAAAGTGCCTTAGATTCTGCTTTATTGTTTATTTTATATTTTTTAGATATTATAATAATTAATGTCATCTCTCAAATTACCGACAAATTAATATTTTTGTGCTCGTTTTCATTGGTAAATTTTCTTATAGTCAACAAATTATTAACAGGCGGGCTTTCGTTGTAACCTCGTTAATAAATCCCAGGCTTTAATAAACGTTTGCCATCGAATTCTCCTTTTACTCTATCAATATCTCAAAGTGATTGTCACGAAGACATTGTGCGTAGTTTCCCTATAGATAAACAGCTAAATGATATTACGTAAGCATTTAAATCCAGTATCGAGATGTTCTTATCGTTCGTGATGAAATCGATCTGATCCGAACCATTTGAGGCTAATTGAATAGGGTTTGCTAAGGCGAATAAGTCTGCAATTAAGTTAACGACAATGCATCTAGGTGCTTATGTTTAAACGCTTTGTGAGATGATTGTAAAGAGGTTATTTATGGTAATAATTAAGAATAAGGAAGATATGTAGATAGTAGATATTAGTAATGAGTTTGTGTAACAGGATTACATGAAAACTGAGACATTAGAAACCATTGCCATCTGTTTAATTAAATGCCTTCGATATAGATAGGTACGTACTTCCTTCATAAGAACACAACTAAGAAGTAACAGCTGAGTTAAGCTTGCCAAGCAGGTTAGTTTTTATCTCCGTCATCTACACTGGCCCGGCTACTACTATGTTGTAAATCCCAAGTTTTCATTTTCACACAGAGCTGAGACGGCTCGTTGCATAACGTTGTCTCACAGTCGGTGACGCGACCACGGTCTACATGGCCTATGAACATTCTGATATATTATCTGTTATACGCGGAAAATGTATAATAATATAATCACATAAGTATGTATGACCACATGTTTTATCTTGTTACGGTTTGTACATATGGAGAAAGCTAGTGTATCAGCTGTTGAATTCAAATTTTTATGCTAATAACTTCACGTG